CTTCTTCTCCTCAAAGACCGCGCTCCAGGACGGCGCGTCGTCGACGAGGATCGTGTTGGCGATCCCGCGCTCGTCCAGCCGCCGCTTCCACTCGCGGAGAAAGGCCGGAGTTTCGTCCTCAGAGCCGTTCTCGTACACGGACACGTACGGCGTGGCGCCCGCAAGAACGAGCGCGTCGAGAAGCAGTACCATCTATTCGCTTGTCAGCTTCGGATCAAGCCCTCGTTCTCGTACCTCGTCGCAATGCGCGTCAAGCAAGTCCATGTTGTTGAAGTAGTTGGCGGCGATCAAGATCTTGCGCCCTTGGAGGTACTGCCGCTGAACGCCTTTGGACGGCGCGGGCTCGCGGGCTTCTCGTGTAGCGAGAAGAAGCACGCCGACGATCGCAATGACGGCGTAGATCGCGCAGACGTATCGGCGAAGCTGCCAAGCGGCGCGGGGGCTGGGCGGCGCATAGCTCGATTGCTGTGTGATCAGCAGCGGGAGGGACCGGGTTAGGACGTTGCCGCGAAAGTTGAGCATCGCGCAAAAAATGTCAATTTAAATCTGACACAAAGCTCGGGGCAGAATCTGGCACGAGTTTTATGACCTGTGGTTTGTATCGAGATTCTCGCGTTGGATTTGAGCAAATAGATACAACAAATGTCAGTGACCAGATGTTTCGTTGCTCATGGATTCATGCTTCGCGCTTACCGCTCACAGCTACAGCCGCTGCTGATGCGACGATGACTCCTGACCGTGGTGTGACCAAGAGACACGCCTACGTCGTGCATACAGCCACGCAGTTATTCACGAACGAGCTTTACGAGCCAAAATAAAATGGGGGCACCAGTACAATAGCCTCTTCATGACATCTCCTTCTCATCGTGGCGCATTACCTCTGCCAAGGTACCGGTAACGTTACTCGAAGCGGCGCAGGTTTGGTGATGCGCATGCTGTCTTCAACATCGGTAAGAGACCGGGATCCATATTTGTTGTATCATTATTGCATGGAATATTCTGCGAAGTAAAGTAGACAACGCTGCAAGAGCTCCTGCAGGCCTGCGTTTACTCCGGAGCCTTGGCTGGTTGCGAACCGTGCCGACTGGTATTCGTGATTCGGGACCAGCTCTGATCGAGGCATTTGGCGTCGCAAAAGCTTGTCACAAGATCGGTCCGGAGCTCGGACGCCGTTCGTGGACTCGTTCGCATCGAGGCCAGATTCAATCGCCTGCGTCATCGGAAAAACGAATTTGCCGCAGATTCAACGCGCCTTTGTTCAAGCTCCATACGCCGAGTCGAACGCACGAGAGCCTCCCAATCATGTATTATGGTGACCGTTTATTTTGGGTGCCGATGACGTCAATCCATAGTCATGTGGGGTGTCCGGATACAAAGATGCATATATCTTATCTCGGAGATGGAGTTGGTGACAAGTCTTCTTGCGATTTGTGTTTCTACGCGGACCTTCTCCGCCCTGTATCTAGCTCATGGTGCGATGTGAAGAAAGATGTGTGATACTCGAGGTAGCATAGGGTCGTTAACGAGCCATATCTGCCATCGGAGCGAAGGCGCTACTGTTCTTAGGGCCACAGAATGACGGACAACGTGAAGCACATGCACGCGGACGAGCCTCGTCGTTGCTTTGCCGATCTCACTCATCTAAAGGAAATAGAGCTGCCGCGTGGTCGTCGAAATATGTATTCGGGCCCGGCAAGTGATGCCAAACCAACGGCAGGCGTGGCGGTAGTTGCTTTCTGGATGTTGCGGCGAACCGAACGCACCCTAAAGTGCTGCCTTTAGGGAGTCAAGGCCACACCCGAGTGAACAAGGCATCGTGGAGCAGTAGCCGCAAGCGTGTCGAGCGCATCTTGGGCACCCTTTGGTCCACGCGGCAGACGACGGTTGAGAGGATTCATTGGTTGAGGACACCTGAGGCCGTACAATGTAGCCCGTCGATGAGGCGAGCGCCAATGATCAGCGTGCGACCGAGAGCCGAAAGATCTAGAGCATAGCCGTTATGCTCTAGATCTCAACCGCATGCACGCTGCGTGTGGTTCGTGGCGTCTTCACGGCCGGCTACACTGGATGACTACCAGCGCGCTCGACACTTGGAACGATGCCGGCCGCAAACCAGTGGCAAGCTCACCGTTGGTCTGCATTCGGCTCGGGCCCATCCATGCATGAACGGTCTCCAGATGACAAGATCTTCGTGGGCGAT